AGCCCCGCCCCCCCACAGGCTCCTTACCAGGGGCTCCTTTATCTCTGCATTCCTCTGCCCGGTGCCCAGCTCAGGGCCTGGCACCCATGGGGCTGGGTTATGACCAGAGTCACTGTCTGTCTCCCCATCCTCCAGCGCCCAGCATAGCTGGGCTGCACTGGCACACAGGAATATTGTTTTTTTTAACAATTTACTTTTTACAAGAAGACATACATATTTACACACGTCTTTATGTGTTCATATGTGACTTAATGGTTAGATGACATTTCCCGTTTTAAGTCATCCCAAGGCTCTCACACTTCTCTCCCTGGGCCTGCTGAGAGCTGCTGGGGCTTGAGGGCGTGTGGGCACCGAGCAGGGCGCTGTATAAATAAATGCAAAGGCCACGAGCTTGGGAGAGATGTTAGTATACACCTCTGATCAGAAACGTGGCAAGGTCCGCAAGATAAAGTGTCAAGTCTTTTCCCAAGCCCCTCAGCCAAAGCAGGGAGAGGGCAGAGCTCGTCTCAGGCCGAGGGAGCACCGCCCCGGAGGGCTCCCTTCCTTCACATTTCGCTGGCCTTGAAACAGTCCCGAGGGCTCAGCTGAAAAGGGGTGGTTCTTTGGGAAGATTTGCTTAGTGCAATTGTCTCTTAGTGCAGAGCCAGCCCTGGGATTGGTGCTATGCTTTTGTGGGGTCGCTGGTCTATTCCCCTAGGGTCTAGCCAGCGACAGTGAGACCCGTTCCAGGCAGCTGGGCTCAGAGGAAAAAGCCAGACACTGACTCCTGTCCAAGTCCCTGACCTGACACACCAGTGTCAGAACCTCATCTGCCCTGGAGGCAGGGCCAGCTTTACCCCACAAGACAAACCCAGACACTGGCCTCCCAAAGGAGGGAGGCCCCATCCTCACTTGGCAGTGTGGTCACACTTGGCTGTTGGGGGCCCACAGAAGTCCAGCTTCTCTGTACCATATCCACCATGATGCCAGGTCCTGCTTGCCTAATAAGAGGGGCCCAGGGGTCCCCTACAGTGCACAGGGAATGGCCTGGATAGAGGGCAACCAGACTGGGGTCAGCAGGCTGTCCAGCCAGGTGGTACCCATGTTCTTCAGATCTGTGAAGTTGTGCTGTTGACTCAGCGCAATATCCCCACCTGGGCTGTCAACTTCTGGCTCCTCCTTCCAGCTAGAGCCTCCAGACAGAGGTGGGCTGGGCTCCAGGTTCATTGAGTAGGTACCCCTTCCCATCCACGTTTGTCCCTTGCCACGCTGACTGCTCCAAGAGCTTCACAACGTCCTCAGGTAATTTCCCTTTCTCATTCTCATCTGTGGCAGCTTCAGAGGTAGAGGGCATGGGGGACACCTGGAAGTTGTACAGATCACTGGTGCTGTCCCACACAGCTTCCACTGGGCTGTGCCAGGCAGAGGGTGCTGCTGACTGCACACTGCAACAGTGCTGCAGTCAGGGCCCACTCCACCTCCAAGTCCTGCACGTAGCCCGGAGCTGTGTAGCTGCTGTGGTCATCAGGCAGAGTGGAGCTGCTGAGTCCACCAGAGAAGGTATCAGGACTGGAATCCCCACAGGACTTCCTCTTGGCCTTGCTCTCAGCATCTCGGCTGGACTTAGAAGCTGAGTGAATCAAAGGGTGAAGCATGCATGAATAAGTCAATGGACAGACAGGAGTGTCCCAGGGCCTTGGCTGTATGGCCTAGTGAGGACCGGAAGGAGCATTCGGCAGGGGAGAGGGGAGAAGGGAGAGCAGAGGGGGCAGTGAGCAGCACCCTCCGTGGCCCGGCTCACCCATGTCCATCACTTGCAGGCTGAAGTGGGACAGTATCAACACCATGCTGAGGGGCTCCAACTCCTTCTCCAGGATCCCCCCACTCCCCATAAGTCTTCAGTCCTGCCAGCTCCACCTCCAGCCTCTGCTGCTGGTTCTAAAAGGAACACGAGAGGTTCACGCCCTGGCCTCGGCCTGGAGTGACACTGAGATGTCACGAATGGATGAGCAACAAGTGAAAGAGTAAATAAGAAAGGGAATAAGTACAGAAATGCATATATAAGTAAATACATATGTCAGCAAATTGAAAGTAAATATGTAAATAACACATAAGTAAATAAATAGGTGAATAAATAAGCAAGTAAGTAACTACGTAAATAAATACAGCCATGCACTGCAGAGCACCTGAGATCTACAGCCATCGCCAGGATCTCTCTTCCTCCCCAGAAAGGGGAATAATGGCCCCACCCACACTGTCCCCACTTGTTAAAATCCTACTAATTCTGGCCAGATGTGGTGGCTCATGCCTGTAATCCCAGCCCTCTGGGAGGCCAGGGCGGGTGGATCACTTGAGGCCAGGAGTTCAAGACCAGGTAACCCCATTTCCCAGAGAACCCACCACACAGTTTCATAAAAGGGCACGTGTGAGGATGTTCCTCACACCCTTAGCTACAGGTGTGCGGAGCTGGGGCAAACTGGGGCCTGCTAGGAAGAGAATGGGCCCACATGAAGAGGCCGGAGTTCACGTGGCAGTGTGGATGAAACAGAGCATTGAGTGAAACGAGCAACACAAGAAGGCTCATCGCACAGATTCCCACGCACCAGAAACACCAAGGGACCAACCACTACGTATTTTATAAGGACACGTAAGAAATATCCTGGCATACGGGGTTGGTAGAGCATCATTTTAAGTGGACCACATGGTATCCACCCTTTGCTTCCTAAGCACCTCCAGGTGCCCCCCTCCCCCTCACCAGCTGAGCAGGAGATAGACAGGCCACCTGAGCGCTTCCCTCCCCAAGCCCCTGGCTTTAGAAGGAGGTGATGCTGGTACCTGCCTCGTAGGACTTTTATGAGAATTAAGAAAGGTTATTTGTGTGAAGTGCTTAGTACTCTGTCTCACTGAAAAGCATAGGTTACAATCTTCATCTGATTGTAACTTTTACAGTTGTTATTCCTCTAGACACTTTTCTGTCTTGTTCCACTTAGTGTTTGTAGAAAATAAAAACAAATAGAGGTTCCTCTTCAAAGCTCATCGTCGTAACCATGGGCACCCAGAACGTGCCGCACAGTTAGAGACTATGACAGAGTAACATCGAATCCTATAGCAGCCGTTGAGGTCAGCATGATGATCCCCATTTTCACCTGGGGGAACTAAGGCAATGGGTGAAGAATTTGCCCAAGGTAAAAGAGGTAGTTTAACAAACATGCACGTTCTGCACATGTATTCCAGAAATTAAAGTATAATAAAAAAGAGGTAAATAATAATAATTTAAAAAAAGTAGTGGGTGGCAGAGCAGGGATTCAGGCCCTTGGCGGTGACACAGCACTGTCTACTGAGCTGTCCCCAAGGTGGAGATGCCTGCTGGACTCCCCTCAGAAAGGAGACCTCAAGTCCTGAACCTTGGGGACCTCCTGCAGAGGCAGAAAGCTTGTCCTAGGCTGCTGGGCTGGGGCTGGGGAGCAGGGGGAGTGACGCCAGTGGAAACAGGGTTGCTCTTTGGGGTGACAGAGATGTTCTAAAGTTCACCACAGTGGTGGCTGCACATATCTGGGAATATACTAGAAACCACGGAGTAGTATAGACTCAGCCGGTGAGCACTATGGCATGGGAATGACATCTCAACAGCCCTGCTGAAGAGAGCACTGGACCTCCTGCCTCCATCTTCTCAGCACCCTCGTTTTGTGGAAGAGCAGGGAAAATTCTTCCTTGGTGGAGACAGCTGAGGCCTGCTCTCGCTCCCCAGATCCCAGGGCTACAAGAGCCATTTGAGACCTGAACCCCAAAGAATGCAAGGTTAACACCCCTACCCAATCAGTGCCCAGCCTCAGAGACTGCAGCTGTGACAAACACAGCTTTCCAGCAAGATCCACCAAAAAAAGCAGAAATCGGACAGCTCTCAAGAGCCCGACCGCTACTGTAAAATTGTAGATGTTTGGCAGGAAGATGAAACGAGGTTCACCCGTGTCTGTTTCCTTTTACATAATCGCAAAGGCCCCCGGAGAGTTACATTGGTTCATGGCCACATGCATCGACAACTTTTCATGGTCCCCCAGCACATTCTTTTATAGATTTTGAAATACACCTGAATTCTCTCTGGTGGGTAATTTACACAGAATGACTCTATGCATCCAAGCACACACGTTTTGCTCCAGAGCAGTGATGAGATGCACTTTCTGTCTTCAGTGCCATTAATCACTCTAAACAAGACATTACCAAGAACAGTTCATTTCAAACACCAGATGTAGCACAAGCCTCCTGCATATCCCTTCAGCAAATATTCACTATCGGCCGGGTGTGGTGGCTCACGCCTCTAATCCCAGCACTTTGGGAGGCCGAGGCGGGTGGATCACCTGAGTTCTGGAGTCCAAGACCAGCCTGGCCAATATGCCAAAACCCCATTTCTACTAAAAATACCAAAAATTAGCCAGGTGTAGTGGTGGATGCCTGTAATTCCAGCTACTTGGGAGGCTTAGGCAGGAGAATCGCTTGAACCTGGGAGTCAGAGAGTGCAGTGAGCCAAGATTGCCATTGCACTCCAGCCTGGGCAACCAGAGCAAAACTCCGCCTAAAAAAAAATTCAGTATCTGCTATGGGTCAGGGATGTGCCTGGAGCCTCACACAGCCCTCCAGTTCCGTGTGTGCATGTGTGTGGTATGAGGGTGTTGTATGTAGTATGTATTGTATGTGTGTGAAGTGTATGGAGTGTATATGGGTAGTGTATGTGTGTATATGAGTGTGAAATGTGGGGTATTTTCTTTTTTTGAGACGGAATTTTGCTCTTCTTGCCCAGGCTAGAGTGCAATGGCTCTATCTTGGCTCACCACAAACTCTGCCTCCAGGGTTCAAGTGATTCTCCTGCCTCAGCCTCCCGAGCAGCTGGGATAAGAGGCATGCACCACCACGCCCAGCTAATTTTGTATTTTTAGTAGAGACAGAGTTTCTCCATGTTGGTCAGGCTGGTCTCAAACTCCTGACCTCAGATGATCCACCAGCCTCAGCCTTTCATAGTGCTGGGATTACAGGCGTGAGCCACTGTACCTGGCCAAGGGTTATGTGTTGTGTCTGTAATGTGTATAGTGTGTGTTATATGCAGTGTGTGTGTGTTTGTAGAGTGCATGTGTTTGTGTTGTGTTGTGTTGTGTGTAATGTGTGTTGTGGGACAGTGACGGGGATGATCATTACAAAGTGACGCGTATGCGTGCAAGCCTTAGGAGCCCTGGGAAGGCCCAACCCCACGTGTAGATCAGGGAAGTCTTCCTGGAGGCGGTGACCTCTCAGCTGCTCTGGGCCCTGTGTGAGGCATTGTGTATTCTCAGGAGAGCCCTGCCAGCCAGGCAATGCCATCCTTATTTTACAGAGGAGGCCGGGGAAGCACAGAGTGGCTGCGTAACTGACCCGCGTGACTCAGCAGTCAGGGTGCTGACAGGGGCCTACGTGAGACCTAGTTCTGTTTTCACATCCCTAAAGGATAGGTGGGAAGAAGAAACTCAATGTCGCCCCTTAGTCCAGCACCTACCAAGGCTGTTTTCACCCTTAGAGGATCTTTCTCTGGATTTTACACCGATGCCATTGTGGTGGGGCCTCTCTGTGTCCAGTGGGTTTCATTTCACTTGAATTCAAGACGTTTTAATGCCAGGATGTTCATATTCATCCACATGTTTGGCCCTTAGTTTTGTCAGCATGGAACTCTACCTTCTTCTTCCTGTGTCCCTAGCACCTGGCTCTGTCCCTGGAAGGAATTTGCTGGGTCTTTGATGAACACATTCATTCATTCGTCCATTCACTGAATATGTATTGAGCAGCTCCCGGGAGTGCCAGGTGTGGTTCTAGGCCCAGGTGACCACAGTGGACAAAACAGGCAAAACAATTGCTGAACTAGAGGGCCATCGCTTCCAGTGGGGGACAGGCAATAACACCAGGACTGAGCAAGCGGAATGGGCTGCGAGGTGGCGATACAGTGATGGTGAAGAGAAATGGGCAGGGCTGGACATTGGCACTGGTGACCGGGGGGCGTCCCTGGGCAGGAGACAGGTAAGCAAAGAGCTGGATGAAGGGAGGTTGCAAGAGCCCTGTGGCCACATGGGCACAGAGCGCTGCAGGCAGAGAGTGCGGCATCTGGGCCTGAGGTGGGCATGGGCCTGGGGTGCTCTGGGATAGTTAAGGAGCCGGTAGAGACGGAATAAACTGAGTGAGGGCTCCAGGAGGATCTGAGGTCCCAGGTGGCACAGAGCAGGCAGGCCTGGTGACCTAAGAGGAAAAAAAATATAGTGGAAGACCTACCCTGTCCCGAACACTCACCTGGTAGTGAGTGGGCTTGACTAGAGCCTGTTTTAAAATTGCATCTTAATAACAAGAGGCATCATGTGGGCTGCCCGTTGGTGACCCCTGGTGCAGGTGGAGTCAAGGCTAGTGTTAGCCGCCGAGCAGCCTCGCCCAGGCTGTTTACCTGTGAGGTGCTGAGGTACTGAGCTGCTCCTTCTTCTTGCGCAGGGGGCTGAAGAACTGCCTGTATGTCCCAGAGTACAGGTCATTGTGTTCATCCCCCTGAGGACAGAAAGGGTTTCAGGTGGGCAGGGAGGAGACTTGGATGATCTAGCCTTCTCTGAACATAAAATTAGCTGAAAAAGACACATAGGCTTTGTGTGGACAGGGCTGGGTCCTGCGACTCTTTTTCCCACCTGTAAATTCCCTTGCCAGGTGTGATGCCTTTCTAGCACAGATGAGCATCTCAACTCATCTCAAGACCTCTGCCTTCAGGTGGGAGAGAAAGTGCTCGGTCCTGAGTAGACAGAAGAGTGTTTTGAAGATTAGCGGTGTTGTTTGAGAGAGCACGTAACCAATTCCAGGTCTTGTTTGTTTACAGAGTTTTCTTCAAAATCCTAAACCAAAATGAGCTCTAAAATGAAACAAGAATGCATCCTTTTATCAGAATACATATGCACTCACCTGCAGGTGCTTCCATGTCAGTAGGATATTTCTGGAAGATGTGCTGGAAACAGGTCATAGTGGATGCCTGAGGATGTGGAGGGGGTTGTGGGTTCCAGAGCTCACTGCATGCTCACTGCTGGCAGTGCTCCATGGGGGCTGGGAGATATGGTGGGTGGATGACGTTGGACAGGGAGATGGGAGCCAGGTTGTGGAAGGCCTTACCATAAAGGCCATGGGGAGCCAAGGCAGGCTCCAGGAGAGGGTGGCTGGGTTGCTGGGAGAGTAGCCTGCAGTCCAGAGCAGGCCCCTTACATCGGGAGTAGCTGCAGGCTGGAACCCCACTGAAGTGGCTCCTGCCACGGCAGCCCAGCCTGGGGCACCGAGGACTGACCTTTCAGGCAGACGGTGCACTCAGAAAGTCCTTTGCCCTTTAAGTCCTCAAGTCATTTCCTAACGATACAAGGTGTTGTATGCAAAGCAACTTTTCGAGTGATTATAAGTGAATGCTGAAATTTCTAAAAAAGGAGGGGGTTTAAAGTCAAAAGAAAAGGGACCCAACATCCTATTTCTACTCACTATAGATTATAGTTTCTAGTGTAGCCTTCCAGAAAATGTCATTGTAAACACATCTATCTGCCCCTTAAAATTCATTTTCCGTTATTCTTCATTTGTTAATTAAACATATATTTCATTGTCAATGAAAACTCAAAGAGGAAACATCTACACCTTCCATCCCAGCTTGTTCCAACATCTGATGAATCCTTTCCCCACCCAGCCCCATATGTGCCCATACGTCAGGCACAGGGCCTGGTCCAGGCGTCCTGAGCTGCTCATGGTTCCCCAAACACGTGATGCTGCTGCCCATCACTGGGCCTCTGCACATCCTGTTTCCTCCGCCTGGAACACCCTGCCTGCGTCACATCCCTCTGCATCCACCCTGTCCAGAGCTTCCTCCGGGAATTTCTAATTTATTCTCCATCTCAGAATCAGAATGACTCAGAAGGTGTCATCTCAGAATTGCTTCCCTGTGGGTCTTCCCGGCCTCCCCCAGCCAGCCTCAGGCTCCTTCCCACGTGGACACGCCACCATGGAGTAAGAGATGGATGTGCAGCCTTCACTGCATTGATCCACAGTCTCCTGTTTAAATGTATGTCTCCTATGGCTGCTCTAACCAACTGCCATCAACTGGGTGGCTTAAAACAACAGACATTTACTCACTCCAAGTTCTGGAGGCCAGAAGTCTACAGTCAGTCTGACTGGGCCAGAATGAAGGTGGGCAGGGCACAGTCCCACTGGAGGCTGCAGGAGAGACTCAGTTCCTTGCCTCTTCCAGCCACTCTGGTGACTGCCTCAGTCCAGGCTGCCTCTGTGATCACAAGGGCTTCTGCTCTCCTGGGTCCCATCTCCATTTGTGTCCCTCTTGTCAGGACACTGGTGGCTGCATCATCTCCCCACCCCCACCGGCCCTGCCACCACCAAGATCCTTCATCACATCCCCCAACCCTCCCATTTTTTTCCATCATATAAGGTCACATTCACAAGTTCCAGGCATCAGGACATGAATGTCTTTTGGAGAGACCGGTTTTCAGCCTCCCACACCAAATGAGGGTGATGCATCTTCCCTCCCAAAACACTGACATTAATTTCTGAGAAGTCAAGGCCCTTATTCTCAAATTCACTTCCTGGGGTCCCTGCTTCTGAAGGAGAAACAAAAGACATCATTTAAAAAAGAATTTGTCTCAGAAAAGGGCTCAGTCCTGCTTGGGAACCATCAATCAGAGGCTCTGAGGTGCCTTCTTTGATTGTATACGTTATCTCGAGGGGGTCTTCATGTCACCTGCTGCAGGAGGATCAGTGCTGTTCCATTTCATCTGAGGCCTGAAAACCACAATGAGCCAAGAGGAAGCAGCAGGCACCCCTGAGGTCAATGCTTCAGCACCTGGCTGGGTGTGGAATGAAGATGAGGGAGAAACGAGGAAAAATCAAAGCTTCATTTTTTCAGCATGGCAGGCTCTAAGTGATATTTTTAAAATGTATATTGACTATTGATATATTTTTATATAGCAAACTCTTATAATTACTATGTTTTAAATAAGGCAGTGACATATTTAATTTGTTTAAAGACAAGCTGTGTCGGAGTGACCTTTCCTTGTAACGTACCAGGTTTTTGCATGACAGCAATTTACAAATAATCTCCCAAATAAATCTGGAGAAGTCCGCAGGGCCTCAGCATGAAGGAAGAATTCAGCAAGGTGAGGCGTTCTCTGCCAAGCTCGGACAAATGGCATTTTGGGAGAAAACTATGAGCAGGAATGACAGCTGTTCTCAGGTACCCTCTGCTCAGCTCTGGTACCAAGAGAGCTGACATTCACAATGAGGACTGGAGGCCTCGCAGCTCCGCCGCAACCATCAGAGGGGCCACCGGACGTGGGTATATCTGTGAGTTCTAAGCCAGATGAGAGATTTTCCAGTTGATTATTTTTCTCTGCAGGCGCTTGACTGAAAAGAAATGTTATGTGGAAACTCAGTAAGTATGATGGGCCAGAGTGGACCTACCTGTGGACCAACTCAGCCCTCTGTATGTTTTTTTAAATAAAGTTTTATTGGCACAGAGACACGCCCCTTTGTCTACATGTTGTCGATGGCTGCTTTCCTGCTACAAGCGTAGAGCTGAATGACTGCGATGAGGCCATGTGGCCCACAAAGCCTATGACAGTTGCTATCTATCCCTTTCCAGAAAAAGTTTGCTGATTCCTGCTTTGGAGGAAGCTAAGGTGGGGGCTGGGCCCCAGAGCACAGGGAGGGACACCAAGTGTGAACATTTATTCCACACTTCCTATGTGCTAGGCGCTGAGTACCAACCTCTCTGTGGTTGAGTTCATTCATCTGCACTGAGCCCTGAGGAGAAGGTCCCGTGACAGCCCCATTTTTCAGATGAGGAAACTGAGGCAATGAATGTTTCAGCAATTTGTGCAAGGCCACAGAGCCAGCAAGTGGTAGAGCTGGTATACCAATCTGGGCATTTGGACTCTGGAGCCCACACCTGCCACTAGGAAGGCAGCTCTCTCAGCTGCTCCCGGTGGGAGCACAGGACACATGGGGCTGGTCCTGGAGTCTCGTGGATGGCTGAGGCCCTGAAACACGCTTTCTCCGGTGCTTGGCCGGAGAGGTGGCAATGTGAAGAACAGGCAGGCCTTGCTGTGGAGTCCTGGGGACGCGGGCCAGCCTAGACCGTGGAGAGCGCAGGGCAGGAACATGTAGGACGAATATGGATGGACCCAGGACCACTGGGAGAAGCCTACCTCTGCCCTGGAGCAGCCACCAGGGAGGCCAGAGACTGGCGCCTGGACCCGCCCCAATGAGGACCCCTCAATGCTGCCCTGTGTGTCTGTGCTCCTCAGAGGAGACTGGAACCCTGGTGGCTGATGGCCACCCTGTGGGTCTCAACATAAATGTGCCCCTGATGGGCTCTGCGATCAAGACTTTCAAAAAGAATGAAAAAGAAAAATGAGTGGAAAGTGCCTTCTGTGGTAAAGGCACAGTGAGTAGACAATGAATAGGGTTCCCTCCTCTGCTTCAGGCTCTGGGGGCAGAGCCAGGACCCCAGATTAGGATTTTGGTGGTGTTTGTTTGGGTATTGGTCTCAGGAAGCACCGGTGGGGCTGGGAGTGAGTCAGGTGGCTAGGCAGGGCCATTACGGGAACAAGGCTCAGTTCCATTGGAACTCTCCAGGGTATGGAACCCACCTAGGATTTGTCCCACTATGGCGGTGGTGGTAGAAAACTGTCTGCATGGGTTCACGGAGAGGCTCAGTTTGCTAGCTCTGCCCTACACATCTGGCCCCAAGGCCGACTGAGAAAAGCCCATGGCAGAGCCGCTGGGCTGCAGGATGGTGCTGCGGCACGTAGGGGTGGCGAGTGGGGCGGGAACCAGCCTGCAGTGTCATCAGTGTGGTCCCTGGAGCAGCAGCAGCAGCCATGGCCCATGGACATGTCAGAAATGCAGGCTCCCAGGCCCCACCCTGGACCTGCTGGGGCAGAGCCTGCCTACCAGCAAGACCCTCGGTGATGTGTGCACGCTGGCATTTGAGAAGTGCCAGGCCCGTCACTGTGATTCCTTTCCCTTTTCTAAACACTACAGAATAACCACTGCCCCAGCACTCCCTGAATGTCCACTGACCCTCCGAGGTAGGTGAGAACAAGCTGCCTTTTATCTTTAATGTTTAACCTCTTCAGGGTGGGCTGACAAGGAAGACCAGATGTCAACTGCTTTGGGCAGGGAGGATGTGGCTCTTCAATCGAGGCGACTGGTGTGAGCACTGAAGGAGGTGGAGTAACACCAAGGGCTTGCTCAGCACACTTCCTGCTATGTAAACATCCCAGAACCCAGCTTGGGAGAAGGCAGCTCCCATCCACCCCTGCATCCCCACTCACCACACAGCTCTGTGGGCTGCACAGCTCTGCAGGAAGGCTCGGAGGTCTCAGAGCTCTGAAAGGCTGCAGCTCGTGGATGTAGCACTGCTTGTCCTCTTCTGCCTGGGACACATACCTCTGGAGGCAGGAGCACAGAGATCCTGAGGCACTCCGGATCTGGGGTTGGGATGGGGGTAGGGGCTGGGCATCCTCTTGTCCAACCTCCCTGGGGCTCTTTAGGAGGAGTCCAAGCAGCTACTGCCCAGCCTCTGTTTGCACACCTCTAGGAACAGGGACCTCACTGACTCCAAGAAAGTTCATTCCTTGTTTGAATGGCACTGTTTTCCTTCCCATCAACTGGCGTCTGCCTTGCTGTGGCCACTACCATTCTCCAAGTGTGGTCTGTTGACTGCAGAGAAGGGCTGCATTATCCGCTCCCTCCTGAGGCACATTAGACTTCTCTTCAATGATCCCTCGTGCAAACATCAGTACTTTGCTGTGCCTAGGGTCCTGGGCTGGGCACTAGAGACAGACAGATTAGACCCAGGCCCAGGCCTTGGGATGCGGAGTCGAGCCCCTCCCTCTCTCTTTGCTCCTGTCATCTGCTGGCGGGCAGCCAGGGCTCTGCACTGTTCTTGGCCACATGCTCAGGGCCTGCTCTGACTTAGTGCCAGGAATTGTCTGGCACTGCCAGTAGCTGGAGCCGCTGACGCAGAGACACCTTCCACCGCGCTTTGCATGAACACAGCTGACATTTAATTTCCATCTGACTGGCTACTGGATAGTTCCCAGTTGGTTGGAAATGTGGGTAGGAAGGAGAGGGATGTTACTAATTGAACCCTTTAGCAGGATTTAGTCAACTGGAACCAAGAGTTTTCTATGACTAAAATAAGATGAAATTGCAGAGGTTTAAAGGAGTTCACGTCAGGGTTGCTGTATTTGACTCAAGGAAATGACACTCTGGGGGCAGGGGTGCTGTTCTGGAGAAAGTATGGGCTTTGAGGTCTGATATGCTTAGGGGTGTGGGACGGCTTCTTGTAGGAGGTGGCAGTGAGGCAGGCATGGCTTGAACAGAAAATGACACATTTGTTCAGTGTGGCTGGAAGGTACAGCTGGGGGTGGCAAGAAGTGATATTGGATGATAACAGTATTTCATGTGAAACGGGCTTTGACCTTATGCCATAATTTGGTGTTCCTCCCTGGCTCCCAGAACATGCTTCTGTAGGAAGTTAACAGGTGTTCTGTGAAAAAGAGGCTCCTTGGTAAATTAGTCTGAGAAACACTGCACACGAAGAGACTCTCACGGCCCTGACCATGCTTGGCTCTGCCTCTTCCTCCACAGCCTCACTCCAGGACAGCGGGGGACCCTATCAGCCATGCTCGTGGCTGCATTCCCAGCATTTAGCACGGTACCAGGCATAGAAAGTGCTAAACAAATTGTTTTTTCTCCCCACCCCACTCCCACAAATATTTGTTAGATGCATCAAAAATGTCCCGCTGAGGGAGAAATCTATAGTCTTGATTTCCTCCAGAATTTCCTAGACTTATTTGACAGCTAGCCCATGTTTTCTGGATGGGCCACTCTGCCTGATCCAGGTTAGAAGATGCTCCCAAAAGCAAGGGGACCCATTGATGGCTCTAAAGTGGTGGGGGACAGGTAACTCGTGTCTGCACTCTAGAGGGTTCCCTCTGGCTCCGGTGTGAGAGTGGACTAGGAGGAAATGATGCCTGGTGGTGTCTGTGGCCTGCCCAGCCCCATCTCAGGGAGCCACTTACTTTGTGTTCTCTGCATAGAACATGACTTACCCCTTTTTGTGCTGAGACAGCTGAGCCCCCTGAGCAATCAGCATCTTTATGACTTCTGTGAAATGCAGATGACGGTGTGTGGCCCTCAGCTGACTTCTCTGCTCATTCAGGAATATCATACCAGTGCCATGGAAGGGACATACACAGCTCTGGGAGCCGGCGGGGAAGGGAGCCGGTCGGCCGGGGAAGCTCATTCCACTTTCAGGCTTTCTTTTTTTTTTTTTTTTTTTTTGAGGCAGAGTCTCGCTGTTGTTACCCAGACTGGAGTGCAATGGCACGATCTCAGCTCACCGCAACCTCCGCCTCCTGGGTTCAAGCGATTCTCCTGCCTCAGCCACCCACGTAGCTGGGACTACAGGCGCGCATCACCATGCCCAGCTAATTTTTGTATTTTTAGATCGAGACCACCTTGTTGACCAGGATGGTCTCGATCTCTTGACTTCGTGATCCACCTGCCTCGGACTCCCAAAGTGCTGGGATTATAGGCGTGAGCCACCAAGCCCTGCCCCACTTTCGGGCTTTCATAACGAGTCATGGGCTTGCCCATCTTGTTCAGTCTAACTAGAGGAAGGGAGGCTAAGAGGGGAAAAGTCACCAGTGGCTTGTTAACCCAAAGTCTGGTAAAAGGCCTAGGAATGAGAAGAGGGGCTCCCCATAGTGCATAAGGTGCATGTGGCTGTGTTTGGCAGGGAACACATTCAAAGAGCCATGCTGTATTCTGTGGGCAAACCACTTAACACATCTGAGCCCCCGCTTCCCCCTCTGTATAATGAACGTAATGCCACCTGCTCACAGGTGTGGCTAACACTCCAGGTGCTGGCCCTCTCCCCCCTGATCTTTTTTTGAGGGGAAGGGAGAAAGGCTGTGGCCAAAGCAGTCCCACCTGCATGACCTCCAGGAATCCTGAAGAAAGCCCCTCAGCGTTAGAGCTGTGTGACGCTGAGGATAAAGTGTACAAGCTTCCAGTGGGGCAAGGTGACCCTCAGAGCACTGGTCAGTGGCTGGCGTGACACCTTTCTTCTACAACACAAGATTCATGGGAAAGGGACACAGTCCCAGGTGCTGAGAAGGGTGGCTTGAGTCTCCTGAAGGTTAACCAGCTTGCCCAAGGCCACAGAGCACCCATGTCTTCAAGCCTGGGGTGGAAAGCAGACCCAGCAAGCCCATACCTACCCCTTTTCCTGTCTGGAACCCAAAGCCTGGTTCTACCATCTTCTTTCCTCCAGCACCAGGACCTCATTACAGCTTAAAGAACAAAGCAGCCCACCCAACATCCCAGTGGTGTCAGGCCGCCTACCTGACCAAGGGCTCTAAAAGAACAGGTAAAGGCTGAGATGGGATCATGCCAACCCAGCCACGTGGCTCAGGCCACATGGTGAGCCCTGCAGATTACTTCAACGTGGGGTCAGACTAATCTCTCTGCACCTCACCCTGTCATTGGAGCGTGGAACAGCAAGGTCCCTTGGGGGTTTTCTCTTCTTGCCTTTAGGCCAGCCCCCTTTCCTTTTCTGAAACAGAAACACCACACACAGAAAACATCAAGACTATCAATCACAACTGAGCATATTCAGATCACAGTATATGATTATGGCACACACCGCAGGGACTGGGATCCACACAGATGGCCTCTGACCCCCTTGCAGTTTCACAATAGGTGTGACCATCCCTTTGAAGGTGAGGAAACTGAGGCATGGAGAAATGCAGTGATCCTCCCAGCATCACCCAGCAGTGTGGGAGCCGGGACCTTTTCCCTCCCATCCAAGCTGCATGATGGTCACTGGACACAATCAGGACAGTCACCTGAAGTTTTAGTTACTAGGTCCATGGGGGATGGAATGAAGCCTTGGCACTGGGAACAGCAGTGCAGAGGGTTGACAGCTGAGCTGGCAACTCCGCTGGGGTTCTAGTCTCAGCCCTGCTACTGACATGCTGTGTGGTATTTGGCAAATTATGCACAGCTCTTTGCCTCGGTTTCCTCATTTGTAAAATGAGGATATAGTCCCTATATCGTGGATTGCAGTGAGGATTGGAAATGTTGATATTGATGAAGTTTTTAGGTAAGGGCCAGAAGCCCAGCAAGTGCCCAGTGAGTGCAGGCTGGCATGACTGTATGCAGAGCCCTCTCCCACAGATGCCAGTTCTCAGGACAGAAATCCAAGCTGTAGGCTCACTCTTCCATCCATTTTATTTCTGGGTTCATCAGCGGTTCCTGAGCTCTCACTATCATCAGGAGCCTGTACCTCAGAAGCTAGGGGGCTGGAGAAGACACAGGCTCTGCCCTCAAGTGGCTCACAGTGCCCTGGGGAGGCTGATTTTATGGAAGCAATGGTAACAATTCGGCACAGGGGAATGGGGTTATAGGATGAGAACCAGAATGCCCCTGTACTCAGGGCTCAGTTTCAAATTTTCCTGACCAAATACACACGTGACAGAAATGGTGGAGAATATAAAAACGTGGCCTTAAGAACCTTAGCTTCCAGTTTTCCAAGTTCCCTCACAAACATGAGGCCATTTCAGCCTTTCCAAGGCCAGGAGATACAAAGCAAGACAGTGGCCCAGCAGGCTGGCTGGGTGGCATTGCCACAGGCAGGCCAGCTGTGCTAGAGATGAAAGGACAGAGGCAGTCAGACCACACACAGGTTGGGGCAGCAGCTGGAATTGGGAGCTTCAGGAGAAGGAGGGCCGAGCTGAGGCCAGGCAGAGGCAAACAGCCCGGTAGCAACCAAGTGTGTTGATGAGATAATGCTGCAGAGGGAGCCAGGTGCCAGGCACACAATAGGTGCTCAATGAATGACATTCTCACTGGCCCACTCCTAGGCACAGACGAGCTGATCCTTGGAGTCCGTGAACAATCCTTTCAGCACCCTGGAGAGCTCCCAAGGCCCTACGTGGGCTCTAATTTCATCTAATGGATACTGCTAAAGACCACCATTTCCACAGCTTGAGTTCACTGGGGCGCTCACACACACATGCACATGTCCCTGAATCTGGGTCTTGCCTTCCCCAGTTGAAGCAAATGTCATCATCCCATGTCACAAGAAGACACCCAGAAAGATGATGTGGCTTGACCACAGAGTGGCAGGGCCAAGCAAAAAGCCCAGAGCACACCCATAGCTCTTGTTAGAGCCAGCGCCTCCTGGCAGAGGTCCCACACCTCTCTGGGGTCCAGGGGAATGTGGGCCAGGTATCCTCTGCCTCGGAGCACATACGCCATCTTCTCCTCCTTTCCTGGTCAGCTTCTCTGCTCTGGCGCAGAGAAGGTTTTTGTTGTTGTTGTTGAATTGGAGGGAATATTATATTATTGTATTCTCTATATTCTAATATTATAAGTCAAAAACCAGAATAAATGTGTTTATCTTGTTATGGCCATCTGAGGCCCTGTGTTTCAGCTCTGTTAAAAAGAAAAGAAAAGAAAAGAAAACCTTCTTGAGTGTTTTCTTAATTTGCCCAGAAACCATAGTTACTGAGACAAAGGGGAAGGCTGTGGGATGTTTTTCTCTGAAGCTTTTTGTTCTTTTGAATTCCTCATGCAGGATTTATAGCAAATTGTCTTGCCCTAAATAGAACCACGTAGACAGCGCGTTCATCATTAGTACAGGGTGTTACTATGTGGAGAGCATTGTCTACACACCGGAGTGCATCAACTACAGAGGAAACAGGAGGAAAACATGGCCCAGCAAGGGAAGACCGACTTTTAGAGAGTGAGGCCAGTAGCAGAGCCGCAAATTAATTGACTGGCAAGATTCCAAGGGGAAAAAAATCCATCCCAACAGGAGTTTTCACCAGCACAGGCCTTTTATTAGACTGGTGCAAAAGTATTTGCAGTTTTAGCCATTACTTTCAACGGCAATTTCAACTACTTCCAAAACCTCAATTGCTTTTGCACTAGCCTAATACATTCAGATTGCAACAGATGGTGAATTTCTGAATTTAGTTTTTCAAACAGAATTTTGTTTTAGAAAGTGAAGCTCCTTTGGGGGTCAGTAGGGCACAGCAAAAGCAACCAGGAGCTCGCATGACAGCTCTGGGCTCAGCCCGGCTCTGACATGGTGTGACCCTGAGAGCCCCTTTATCCCGCAGCTGCTAACTGGTGGGGTGGGGGAGCTAATGTTTGTAAAGGGCCTGGCACGTGGCAGAACTCAACACATGCCTTCCCTCTCTCTCTCTACCAGGAAGGGAAAAATCTCAAGTACAAACCCAACACCCATATTCTGCAAGCTTGCTGAGCAAGTCTTAAAGGGAAAAGCACGTTAGTTTATGCAATGTATCCTTTGGGAGCCAGACCCAAGCCCAGAAGATTACAATCACAGTTAGGAAATGGTCCATGGCCTCTGTGGGTTTACAAACAGCTGCCCTAGCAAAGTCTAGGGAGGTTATGGCTGTACCTGGAGATAGGGCCTTTAGAAGGTATGCAAGGGTAAATGAGGTAATGAGGGTGGAGCCCTAATCCTACAGGACTGTCACCTTCTAAGAAGAAGGCAGAGAAATCTTTCTCTCTCTCCACCATGTGAGGACCCAGCAAGGCGGCCAGCAAGCCGGGGAGAGGTCGTCAGCAGAACTGGACCCTGCTGGCACCCTGATCTCGGACTTCCAGCCTCCAGGACTAAGGGAAATTTCTGTTGTTTCAGCCGCTCCATCTGTAGCATATTGTTATGGCAGCCCAAGGAGATGAATACACTGCAGAAGAAGTACTGTAGTATTATAATTATTTCATTTTTTTGAGACAGGGTCCCACTCTGTCACCCAGGCTGGCGTGCAGTGGTGTGATCTTGGCTCACTGCAGCCTCAATCTCCCAGGTTCAAGTGATCCTCTCGCCTTGGCCACACCAAGATGCCCAGTTAATTTTTATTTTTTGTAGAGACGGTGGTCTCACTATGTTGCCCAAGCTGTACTTTATTATTTTTGAGCACGGGACTGTTAGACTTCAGCGGCCCTCCCTTGCCTCATTTCTCATCTCAACTTGAACCAGGTGTGCACACAGGATGCCAAGGGGAGAGTTGACAATGCTGTGACAGTGGAGGATGGTGGTCAAAGTGTGGATCCTGGAGCAGACTGTCCAGATTGGAGGCCCAACCTCTCCAAGTACTGGCTCTGAAACCTTGAGCCATTGCCTACCCTTGCCGAGCCTCAGTGACCTCCTCCTCCGTACAATGGGGAAACCATCTCTTCCCTCACTAGCTGCGAGGATTAAATGACTAGGTATGAGTGTTGGGATAGGTGCTGGAGTGCGGGGAGCCCTCAGTGACTGCTACTGTACTGCTGGCAGCCCACATAGATTTAAATCCTGCTCCACCTGCACATGTAACTTCTGAGAGTCATCAGACCTTTTGGAATCCAGCTCCCCCTGTAAAGTGGACTGGCTTGTTGTGATGTGTATGGAGGGAAAGTGTTTCCATTACTTGGGACGCAGTCCTGGCTCTAAGAGGACAAAGGCCTGAGTGAACTCACCACACATTTATCTGATACTGCTGGTTGCCTTCGCTATCCATTCTGCCTTTCTTCATTAGGAATGAAGCCCTGGTTTCTAAGTGGGCTCATGGCCACCTGGAATAAACATGTTTCTCAGCCTCCCTTACAGCCATGTGGGGCCATGTGCCTAAGTTCTGGCCAATAAGATTAAACGGAAGCATAGCAGTACACAACTTCTGGGACATATTCAGAAATGGCATCTTTTTTCACCCTTACCTCCTTCCTGCTGGCTGGGATGCAGACACGAGGGCTGGTGCTTAGCGGCCACTTTGGACCATGGGGCAGCATGCCAAGGCTAGCAGAGCAGTGAGATGGAAGGAGTCTGGTCTCCTGCTAATGGAGACGCCTCCATACCAGCCCTGATTATCTCTCACTGTCATTGTACACTTATTATGGATCAGACCCTTTGGTAAACGTAGTTTTCAGGAATTCCTTTGAAGTGAGCAATGTAATCCCCATTATACCAAGAAGGAGCTGATGTCAAGAGTTACTGCAAAGTGTCACGGCCAGGAGGTGGCAAAACTGCGGCTCCCATATACATCTGTCTGCCTCCACAGCTCTCCCCTTCCAACCACAGCCACCACCGCTGTGCTCCACAGCCCTCCTCGCCAGCCACCTCTGCCACACAGAGGATCAATCAGGGCTGTTCCCGACATGAGCTCTGCCCACCTCACCCCAGAACCTTCATCAGCAACCCCTTCCTTCCCTGAGTAGGTCCAGGAGCCACACTCTGAGCACAGATCCTGCTCTGCCACTTACCACGTGATCCTGGGCAAGTCACTCAGCTTCTCAGGGCCTCTATTTTGTTCTTATCGAAAAGTGGGGATAAAATTGCCAACCCTGCAGGGTTGGGAGGATTCAGAGACCAAGCACAAGGCGGCCCAGCCCAGAGCTCGGAGCGCAGAACAGGCCACAGGTGCAGCTGGGATTGCTCTTGTTAAGGTGCTGGAGCAGCCTGTGAGGCTGTCCCCACCTGGCCCTGGGTACTGGACTTGCCTTTGGCTCCTCCGAGTCCTGCTCCCTTGGGGCCCCCCAGTTGACCAGCACCACCTACTGCACAGGCAGAGATGCCAGGTCCTGGCATTGGATCTGAATCACTGAGCTCCGGGTCACACATCCCATGTGAAGGTGGCAGAAGGAACTCTGTAGGCACGAAAACAGCAAGAAATGGCCCATAAAGTCAGAGACATTGAAATCACCACCACCTCAGAGTCCACCCAGCACAGGCACTCTAGAAGTGACATTTGCTTTTCAAATGCTCACAGGCGAAGCCTGGGTCAATGGTCATGTTTCCAGGGCACAGATGGAGAGCTGCCCAGGGAGGCTGCTGCCTGGGAGTCATTCAATCCCTGGTGAGCAGGCAGACCTGAGGGCTGGGACCTGCCCCTCAAGCCTTTCCCCTTGCCCAGTGGAGCGTTATGACTCCAGACCGTCTGGGTTCAGGCCTGGCTCCCATGAACTGGCTGCACATGATTAGCTACTCAATTAGCTTCACTTGCAGGAACCTCAGTTTCCCCTGGTAAATTCAGGTGAATTTCAGACCCACTTCATAGGATTGTTCAGGGCCCATTCACGCAACACGTATTTACAGGGTGCTTGCTGAGCGCTGGGAACAGCCAACCTCGCTGCAAGAATGGCATCCGAGGCCTCCTGAGGTCACGCTGGGTGGGAGGAGGGATTAATGAAACGTACAAAGTCCTCAGGGCAGCACCTGACACTTAGGAGTCCTCCAGTCAATGCTGTGACTTTGGGGGTGTTTGTAGCTATCACCTGGGAAAGTCAAGAGCTGATTGTGGTCAAGTCATTCCCGCAAACCCCATGAAGGAGGTGGGGCAGTGATGGTTCCCCCAGCTTATATACGGGAGAGGGCGGGGCTGGACACTGGCATAGCGCAGGTCTATTTGGTGTGTGATTTATCTCACACACACATGCCCATGTGTTGATGGGGATACTGAGGCACAGGGAAGCAGAGTGATTAGTCTAGAATCACACAGCTGGGCAGAGGCCAGGCAAGGTCTTGGGGAATTTTGTTTTGTTTTGTTTTTGAGATAGGGCCTCGCCAGTTGCCCAGGCTAGAGTGCAGCAAAATACAATCACAGCTCACTACAGCCTCTAATTCCTGGGCTCAAGCAATCCTCCTGCCTCAGTCTCCTGAGAGCTGGGACTACAGGCATGTGCCACCACACCCAGCTAATTTTTAAATTTTCTGCTACGCTACTCAGTCTAGTTCTCAACCTCCTGGACTCAAGTGATCCTCCCACCTTGGCTTCCCTAAGTGCTGGGATTACAGATGTGAGCCACTGCAGCCAGTCCCAGGTGAGGTCTTGAACCCAGGTTTCCTGGCTGCCAGCCCCAGGGTCTGCCCCCACACCACCTACTGGCAGCGCTCTTCCTGCAGAGGGGAACAGTAACAACTCTCTAGGTGCCATCCTCAAATGTGACTCCATCAGTGCCCCACAGTCTGTGCATAGCCCCATAGCATAGACCACAACACAGAAAACGCCTCCCTGCCGAGGCCTTTGAGATGTCCATGCATCTGGGAGTTCTGGAAGACAGGAAGGAATATACTGATGATCCTTTTGGCTTCCTGGGAAGAGGAAAGGTGGCAAATAGTGGTGACCACACCCAGCACTCTAGAACTTTCCTGTCCTGTCTGTATCTGTATGGCCAAGCCTGGCCCAGGCCTGGTAATCCATCACTGGCCCTATTCTTAAGTTTTTAGTAGAATTTTTGTTTTGAATTGTAACTAGTGGGTACAGTTTGGCACCCAAAGAGTACTGGAGGGGTGAAGGTAAAAGGCAAAGCTGGCCCCGCCCTGGTCCTGTAGCAACCAGTCCCCTTCCTGGAGGCCCCACTGTGGAGCTGATCTGTGCATTCGTAGATGCTTCTGTGCCCTGAATGACAGCCCACCAGCCATGTCACATCTCACTTGCTTCTTTCTCTGCAGAAAGGGCTCCAAGATGTCCCATTTTGTGGTGAAGGCTGTACCATATTCTGCTGTGAAGATGGTCCATGGTGCATTTAGAAGCCCCCGACAACACATGGAGAGGTTACTCCTGGTTTCTGCACACATGGAGTCTCATGCACATGGGAACTGGGTTGCTGGGTCAAAGGGCACGTGTGTTTGTAATCCAGATGGACCCATTTCACCCCCTGCCTTCCTCCCAGGGACCCCTGTCTCTGGGCTCACAGGCAAGAGGCCCACTCTTCCCCATCTGCTCACACCATCCATGACTCCCTCTGCCTTTGACACGAAGTCCAGGACCCCAGCCTGTCACTCGAGGCACCCAGAGGCTGGGCCTCACTTCCCCTCCAGCCCTACACTCATCTGAGGGACACTCTGAAAGGTGGCGATGAGAATGGATGATGATCAGACCTTTGGCACACACTGTCCCATCTAACCTCCACCTCAACTCATTACTATGGCAATATCCACACCCATTTTACAGAGTCAGTGACTTCGTGAATGTCCATAGCTGGGCGACAGGAGACGGGACCCTCCACCTTGGGCCTCTCTTTCCATTTTCCCAGCCACTCTACGGACAACAGAAATCTCCTCCTGCCCAGTCCAGCCTCGTGTAACCGCAGATGCTCTCGCTCCAGTGAGACCAGCCCCACATCTTCCCTGCCTTGACTCCCTTTCCCAAGAGTCCAGGCACAGCTGGACGGCTGGGAGGAGTGGGGTTGGCAGACTGCTCTTAGTTGACTGATTCTCTCAGTGGAAGACAGAACTTTGGTGGTGTGCCAGGCCCCAGGCAGGGGCTACAGAAACAGCAGTGGGCAAGACAGGGCAGCCTGCAGGGAGTCCATGCAAGTCTTAGTTCCATGGAGGGCAGGGCCATGGTGATTGCTTTGCCGAATACCCTTGTTTTAATTATGGGCCAACCGAGGCTCAGGAATGCCCCATGACTGGCCGAAGCCCTCCCATCCTGAGAGAGTGGTGCTTGCCCTGGAGCCCAGGCCTTCAGACTGTCTGGAAGTGCCGTGGCCACACCAATGAAGGACAGTCTAGCTTTGGAGGCACCCTTGAGCCGTGTGGTCTTGCTGTGCCTCAGTTCCCTCACCTGCAAGAGGAGAGTACTAAGAGGGGGGCTACTGAAGACTGACCTGTTAAATGGTCCGGCTCCCCGGAGGCCAGACAGCCAAGGGCTGCTGTCGTCCCATCTTCAAGGTCCACGAGGGAAGAGAAAACTGTTTTCCAGTTAAACTTTGGGCCCCAGTGCCACTTGGGGTTAATGTAAAAATACATTAACCAGGAGCAAATTACAGGATTTTCACTTAATTATCCTACAAAGTCAGAAAACAGGGTTTTAAATATTTATTATTTATGCGTAAAAGAATGTTCTGGACAGAAACCCGAACTTTTCAGTGCGAACTTCAACATGTCCATGGCTGGTGCTGAAGCTCTGACACCCACTGACCTGGGTTTGAAGCCTGTTTATACCATTAGCGACCCGTGGGGCCCGGTCCAGCCACCGAAGCCTTCAGGTTCCCACTGGGAGGGGGACCGGTGCTGCGGTTACTCAGGACAGGTGATACAGGACCCCGGGCCAAGAGCGCCCCATCAATGCAACTGCTGCCAGGACAGGAGTCGCCCGTGACTGCGCGTTCCGGTTCGCCCGGAGCAGCGGCCCTGGCCTCCGCGCCGTGGGCCTGGACTTGCAGAGGCCGGCTCCGGAGCCTGGGGCGCGGCTCCTCCGGGCGAGGGTGGCGGGGCACGGGCCAGGCACCTGCATCAGGGGACGAGCGGGGAGGCGGCGGGGTCAGGAGCGCACGCCCGAGCCACCACGTGCCAGCGCCCGGGAACCCCTCCGGTGTTTTCAGCCGCGCTGCGCCGGACGTCCCGACCCCATCCCGGGGACGCCCCCACTGGAGAGCGAGGCGCGCGCGGCAGAGGAAGTGGGGAACGCAAGTCCAGCCACCAAACCGCAGCCTGGCCGCTGTCCCGCTGCCTGTCTCCCGCCTAGGCAGCTGCCCTGCGCGCGCCGCTGCGCCCGGGTCGCGTGGGCGGAACCGTCAGAGGGGCCGGGCCAGCTCCGCGCGCTGCTGTGCTCCGGCCTCCGGGATTTCCAAGCAGCCGGGGCTGGGCGGGGACAAAGGGCGGGGCAGAGGGGTGGGCGGGGCAGAGACTCAGGGTAGCCCCGCCCCCGCCTGTCGCTCGCCCCGCAGAGGCCTGTGCCCGCCCCGCAGTTACGTAAGTGCCCCCAGCGGGCAAGAGGGGCCTCTCCGCAAAGGCTCGTCTTCTACATTAGTTATATGACCTTTAATATTTTCGAATCACACACGAATATATGATACGTCACCACTATGGTGAAATTAGAAAATTCAGAGCAGCTGCTCTACAGGAGTCCTTTTCAGAGACAACCACCTGCTAACCCCTTGGTGTACCTTCTTTACATAAAAACATCCAAAGTATAATTTAAACGATAGTTTTAAACATTAGTTATGGCCACGGGCTCCACCCCTCCTTCCAATGGCAACGCTTCCGTGTTTGCACATCCCCTTCCCGCTTGTGGCAGGTAAGCTGGTGACAACCGCAGGGTTCACCATCTCTGTGGGTGGTAATTCTTGCGGTTGCCTAGAGACGGCACAGTCCCTGGAGCCTGGCGGTCTGGGCTCATCAGCCACCTCTGCTGGGTGACGGTGGGCTGGTGACTTCGCATATCTGGGGCTCAATCTCTTGGTCTGTTCATTGGAGGTAATAATAGTTCCTGCTAGGTAAGAAGGTTGTGGGATTAATGATTAATATTCCCAAAGTACATAAGAAGCACTCAACGAAAGAGTAAGCTATTACTACTGAGGTCTCCTTCATGTATCAAGAACAATGCATGCTAATTATGTAGTAACATAATTTGGTCTTTGCATACTCTCCCAAAGTTTGCCACTCCATTCCCTTGTTTTCTTTTTTAATCAGCCAATATCTCCAGCAAATAAGTCGCTACAACTGTGTTGTTTAGTTCCTTGCTCAATAGAATGGAGATAGTACGAACAGCACCTGCCTCCCAGGGATGTTAGAGGATTAAATGAGATGCTGAGGGGTGGAACATATATAACTGGCAAAGCAGTGTGCCTGACATGCATTACCTGGCCAATAAGAACACAAGCAAGCTGGGTGCAGTGGCTCACACCTGGAATCCCAGCACTTTGGAAAGCCAAGGTGGAAGAATCACTTGAGGTCAGGGATTTGAGAACAGCAATGGCCAGCACAGCAAGACCCCATCTCTTAAAAAAAAAAAAAATAGCTCAGCATGGTGGTGCGCGCCTGTAGCACCAGCTTGGGAGGCTTAGGTGGAAGGATTTCTTGAGTCCAGGAGTTCTGATGTTACAGTGTTATGATGGCACCATTGCACTTCAACCTGGGCAACAGAGCAAGACTTTGTCTCTCTCTCTCTCTCTCTCTTTCACACACACACACACACACACACACTCACACACACACAGCTGTTCTTATCACGGTATGTTGTCCAGTGCTCAAGGAGAAGCCAACCTGGGCTGGGGTTCTAGAGCAGGCAAGGACTCCAGAGGTCTAGGGCACTAGCCCATCCTTCCTCAGTGGCAGAAACTGAGTCTGGAAGAGGGTAAGTGGCTTGCCCAAGTGAAATTCCCTCTACCTCCCCATGAAGTTTCTCAATTTAGTCCAATTAAGTGTAGCACATACCTGCTGAGACTGCCTCCTTACCAAAATCAGTATAAAATAGTCTCTGAAAATAAATCCTTGAGAATAGCTAAAAAAATTACAAAATGTAAGAACATTCAAGTGAGACTCGAGTGTTCTTACATCAGAGGATACAAAAAGCCACTGGAATCTAATCAGTAATTGGTGTTGATATAGGAATGGACAAATAGATGAGGCAAACAGAAGACAGAACTAGAATTAAATCCAAAGCATGTGCTAGACTAGTGTATGACAAGTGTCATAGTTCAGTAAGAAGGAATAAATTAATAATAAATATTGCTGGGAACTGGCTAGCCATCTTATGCCAAATACAAAGCAAATTTTAGACAGATTAAATACCTAAATATAAGAAACAATAAAAATTTTGCAAGAAGGCTTTGGCATACCAATGGTATGCTCATCTGAATATGTTCAACTGAAACACCTTCACAGATTAAAACATGAAGATGGGACACTACAGCAAATTCAAACCGCCCTGCTAAACTCACAGCAAAATCCAGGGAAATGCTCAAAGATCCTGCCTCTCCACAGAAAAGATGAATGATCAGCCCAAACCAGAGTGGTTATGACAATGGAAATCCGGGCTCCAATGCGTACAGGAACGTGCAACAGGAACTTCAAGCTGGCGGGATTCATACTGATGTGGAGGGCTGATGAACAAAGAAGGCCATCTCTGCTGCCTCTGGGTGGAGACACGTACAAAGTGCTAGAGAGTCTTTCCTGAACTTTTGTAGCCAGAGGACTGCTCCGATGTGTGTCTGAGGTTCAAATTTATACTGCCCCTAAGGTCAAGAAACCACCCTAGCAACAAAATAAAAAAATTATAGATACAGATTAGTAGCGCCCCCTGGAGCCTAGAAGAAGCAAACACCAGTGCTGTCTGGAGAAAAGCATCCTCAGTCGAGTTCCGTCACCATATATCCTGTCTGAGCTCATAATAAAAATTACCCAACACATGGAGAAATGACTCAATGTGAGAGTCAGCTGAATAAAAAACAACATATTTAGGTCCTCAAGCATTTCTGATAGTAGACATCTAATTCAGGGAGCAAAATAATCGTGTATAAACATAAAATGTGCTAAGAAATTAAAAGTGGAATTTAAAAGCTCAAAGAACAAAAGTCAGACAAATGGAATTTAAAAGTCCAAAGAACAAAAGTCAGGAAGAATTGAGAAAGAACCAACTAAAACATCTTGTAGTAAGAAATATAGTGAATGTGCTAGGCATGGTGGTACATGCCTATTGTCCCAGCTACTCAAGAGGCTGAGGCAGGAAGATCTGTTGAGTGCAGGGGTTTGAGACCAGCCTAGGCAATACAGCGAGACCCTGTCTTTAAAGCAAACAAAGAAATGTAATGATTGAAATTGAAACCTCAATTGTTGTGTTATATAGCAGATCAGATTGAAGACATAATGAACTGGCGGACAGATTTGAAGATATTACTGAGAATACAACACAAAGTGACAAGGAAAGAAAAACAGGAGAGGTTTGAAGACATGCATGATAGAATATGTAAGTCTAACACTTGTCTAATTGGAGTTCCAGAAGATTAAAATAGAGAAAGCCGAGGAGAGGCAATATTTGAAGAGATAGTGCCTAAGAATTTCTCAGAACTGTTCAAAGATAACAAAATTCAAATCTAGGAAAAATAATGTTTCTCAAGCAGCAGAACTAAAAAGAATCTATAATCATTTCAGATGAAATAAGAAGACATCAAGAGAAATCAAGAAGCAACAACAACAGAAAAGATAATGTTACAAAGAATAAAAGTGACCATATTCCATCAATTCCAAGATGTATATTTTCCCACACTTTAACATGTCTGAATTGTGACTAATCTTATCAGTGATGGATTCTTACAATTATAATTGACAGTTTTTTGTTTCTTACTGTTAATAAAATAACGATGAATTGCATTTTCAGTGATACGAACATTTACGAATGAAATATGGTAAACTGGCCACATACTTGTCAACAGCAACAATAGAAACCCAAAGACAGAGAACGAATATATTCAAGATGCTGAGAGAAAATAAAGAGTTGAGATTTCTGCTCCTATCCATGAGGAAAACTGGATAAACCATATGAAAAAAAATTTGTTTTCTGATCTTGGGCAACAAACAGAGCAGAACAGTAATCTCTGAAAAAAGAAAAGCAAGTAAGGTGAACTCTATGATGACTCAGCACTTTCTCGACTGTAATCCAAGAAGAGGAACCAAGGCAGAGCATGGTGATTTTGCTGAGTTGAGGAGAGGTAGAAGGCAGGGGAAGCCAAGGAAGCTGGGATTTGAGAGGTAGAGTATCAGACAAGAGTGAGCCATGCACACAAAGAGCTCTAAAACTCTACCTTTGGGTGCTTTGAGTCTCTGAATGAACCCTAAGCCAAACATATATCAGGTAAAACTTTCTGCATTTAGGCAAAGAAAAGCTACAAGGGAGCTGAAAATTGAATACCTACTAGATCTCTCACAAGGCTGGGAGACATTTGAGTTCCAATCAGAGTGGAAAGACCCTGCTGAATTCCCTTGGCATTCAGCAGAGAGCCCAGAATGGTCACGACGTGGGCATAGGGCTGACTGAGTGCTCATGTAAAAGGAACCCCAGCACCCCACCTAACAAACATGAAAACTAAGCTTCAAAGGCATCAGACTGAGCTGCAGGTCAATGAAGTGTTGGACAGAAGAAGCCAAACATTCTTTAAAGCAAGAAAACAAAACTAAACACTCAACTGCATAATGTTCACAGTGTTCAGCATCCTTAAAGACGAAACATGAAAATGTGAGCTTTTTCCAATTATTCTTTAATGATAGCAGTTTGAAATTGGAGTGTAGTAATAATGAGATGTCTACAAAATCCCTCAAATATTAGGAAATTAAGCAACACACTTTTAAAGAATACATGGGTCAAGGAAGAAATCAAAAGAATGACTGAAAAGAGGGGAAATATAATACAATATTTAAGAGTGAATGATAATACACAGTGTGCATATAAAATTAGTGGTTGGCCGGGCGCAGTGGCTCAAGCCTGTAATCCCAGCACTTTGGGAGGCCGAGGCGGGTGGATCACGAGGTCATGAGATCGAGACCATCCTGGTCAACATGGTGAAACCCCGTCTCTACTAAAGATGCAAAAAATTAGCTGGGCATGGTGGTGCGTGCCTGTAATCCCAGCTACTCGGGAGGCTGAGGCAGGAGAACTGCCTGAACCCAGGAGGCGGAGGTTGCGGTGAGCCGAGATCGCGCCATTGCACTCCAGCCTGGGTAACAAGAGCGAAACTCCGTCTCAAAAAAAAAAAAAAAAATAAATAAAATAAATAAAATTAGTAGTCTAATTTTATGTTAAAAATGTAGACGTTAGAACTAAAATACTGGACCAAAAAAAAAAAAAAAACGCACACAGACACTGATTACCCCTCACCCCACCCCTTGGCAACCACCATTCTACACTGTATCTATGAATTTGACTACTCTAGGAATTTCATTTCAACAGAATCATACAATATTTGTCCTTTGTAACTGGCTTATCTCACTGAGCAGAATGCAATTCATGTCACAACATGTGTTTTACATGTGCTTCTGTGAGAAAAGAAATTGAGGTTATTTATTGTTTGAGATGAGAATTGAGATTTTGATTTTTTAGGCTTTGATTTATTTTACCATAAAATAATATGGTAAAATGTCTATCTTAGTCACTGAAAATATGGAAGTAAACTCTATAACTCTAAGACAGTAGAGGAAAATGGACTAAGAAAAAAAGCTCAAGCAATCCAAAAGAAGGGGGAAAAGAGGGAGAAAAAGCAGTAAAGAAAAAGCAAGACAAGTAAAAATACAAAATCAAATGGGTAGAAAGAACTCCAAAAATATCTGTAATTATAGTCTGTTTAGGTGAGTAAGCTGGCTGGTTAACAGGTTGGATAAAAATATAAAATCCAACTGTATGCTGTTTTCAAGAGATGTACCAAAAGCACAGGGAAGACACAGGAAGGTTGAAAGTCAAAGTGTAGAAAAAGACACATGAAGTAAAGGAAAGTGGCAGTGGCTCTGAATATTGGACAAAATAGTTAGATTAAGATTTGATTAAGTAATAATTAGGATAAAGAGTTTACTACCAAGTAGCAAATTCACTATAAAGAGATTCCAATTCTAGGATTTCATGCATGAGACTGTATGTGAAACAAAAATATATAAAACAAAGATTGAGATACATTTAGATACAATGTAAAAGGCTGGTTGCCAAGGGGTGGGGCAGGGAGGCGTAATGGGAATCAGTGTTTAATGGGTACAGAATTTCTGTTTAGGATAATGTAAAAGTTAAGGAGCTGGATAAGGATAAATGGACAAATTCACTCTTTTAGTGGAGCATTTTAACATCTCTTAAAATTTTTTTATTGTGCTAAAATATACGTAACGTAAAATCTGCCATTTTATCCATTTTTCGGTGGTTTTAAGTTCAGTGGTATTATGCAGATTTGCACTGTTGTGTAACCATGGCCAATATCCATCTTCTTTTACATCATCCTAAACAGAAACTCTGTACCCATTAAAC